CCGCCACCACCTGCGTCTCCTAGAACGCTTCCATCAACGCTGTCTCCGTACAATCCTAAACATCCACTGGTCAGATTATGTGACCAATACATCTGTTCTAGAACAAGCAGCAGCCACAAGTATTGAGGCCATGTTACTGAAAACGCAGCTGCGATGGGCAGGGCACGTCTCAAGGATGAAGGACCACCGCCTCCCTAAGATCTTGCTTTATGGTGAACTTGCCACCAGCTGCTGCAAGAGAGGAGCCCTGAAGAAAAGATACAAGGACTCCCTGAAACAACATCTCAGCCTTGGCCATATTGATCATCATAACTGGTCTACTCTGCCCTCAAATCAGGAGGCCTGGAGACACACCATCTATAACGCAGCTTTCTTCTTTGAGAACACACGCAGGATCACCCTTGAGGAGAAAAGGCAACGCAGAAAGAACCGTGTATTGCAGAATATACCATCTAAGGAGTCTTTCTGCTGTGCCTTTTGCAATCGGATATGTCTGTCACGTATTGGTCTCATAAGCCACCAGCGTGCCTGTAGCAAATGTGGATAGAGCTGCCCAAATCTTCGTTCGCGAACCCTAGCCATGACACTAGCAGCTAAAGGAGAACAGTGTTTAAATAAGAAACTTATACTGAATTAACCCATTTTAAGTGTCTTGCACTTGAATGATGGAGATACAATGCTCTTCAGTACAATACTTAAAATGACAAAAGTAACCATATGATTATAGAAAATTTAGTCATTTTTTTCTGTTAAAGTTTCTGGTAAAGTTTGTTTGCAATCTCAGACTCCGTTATATTCCCAGTGGGCCAGCTACAAGTAATAAGGAGAAAAGTTACTAGATTTACATTATATCCACAATAAGTAGCTTGATTATACATAGTTATGCTATTTAATCATAGCCAAATATATCAGAATTCTTCCAAACTGTTATCAGTTTGTTTTATCATCACCAATGATCCTCGATTTATTCTCACTGAGTGTGTTCTGTGTATTTGGAAGTTGAAAAATGCATAATTTTCAATTACAACTTTGAATATTCTGCAGTAGGTTTTGGGTGGGGCAGTGGAAATTTTAATGGATTTTTTCTTTGAAATTAATTCAGTCTGTTACCTTGGGTAACATGAAACTAATTTGGTATTTTGCTACTCTCTGTAGACCCCCAAGACTTCACTGGAGTTACACGCTAGTTACAAGCGCAGTTACAACCCAGATTTTACCTAGTTTGCAAATTATTCAGTGTTATTTACAGATTTTTCTCAGGAGAAGAATCTCTAATTTGACAGAAACCTAATAAAGGCAATAGAAAACTTCTCATTGCTTTCAGCGATGTAGACACAAATTGCAAAGTTCAGCACGAGAGCACCTACTCATCTGATATGAATCTGCTGAAGTCTTAAGAACTTCCCCCTTCTTGAAATAGACTGAATTTAAATATAAATAAATAAAATGCATTTCACGTAAGGTTGAAAATATGCATTTAATTATTCTTAAAACATTATTAAATTCAGCAGGAATATATTAAAAAAGGAAATGGAGACATGTAGTATGAAGCTTAAAACCACAATGTTTTCACCATCTAATGAATCTGACTTTTTTGAGGGCACAAAAACATTTGTATTTTCCTCAATGTTTATGGAGCAGAGTCATGGGCCATGACTGGACTCCTATACTACTCCAATAAAATGTATAATGTCCATGGAATTTTAAGATTAACTGTAAAACTTCATATTCTGCAAGTGCTGCAGGCTTGGAGGTAAGAGCCTATGTGCAGTCATAGACGACATGGCTGAAGGGTTGCCAGACCTCTGTGGGTACTCCACTGGCTTTGG